TGCCGAATCCTGTCGACACTCACACACAGAGTGGGCGATCAACAGACCGATCGATCGTTGATCTGGAATGGGTAGCGCCCGAAGCTCGTCAAACGATGCAAAGAACGTCGTTGAGTACCGTGAAGGGCTACGATTGCTGATGTTCTTGGTGCCGATGCGGTCTTGAGGCACGTGGCGCCCGCAACAGTGAAATTCGGCCCTTTGTCGCTCAAGACAACCCGATGACATTCTCTCCCAAACACTGCCTAGGGGATGTTTCAACAGCAGTAGGTCTAAATCCATTGTTCCTTGCTCCTACGTTTTTCTATCTCATCTCTTCTCACCGTGAAGTACGTCTTTAGGCAGCTGACACAAGCAGTAACTGTACAGTTGGTTCCTTCGACATCGGAAGCGGACGCCGAAGCGGCGAGGGGGTGCAACCAGGCAGAGCCAAGCACGTTGTCGCAGTCCTCGAGGCACACCATGCACGCCCCCGGACCAGTCCCCGGAACCTTGTTCGAGTATGCAGACTCTTCCTTCGCATCCTCTTTCTCTTCTGCCTTCGGTCGGGGGTTGCTGTCTCCGACGGAGACGGGTTCTGGTGGTGCTGGTGGGGAGGGCACACGTTCGGTGCTAAGAGGTGAAGGTTCCGGGACCTGTCGCATCTCAATCTGTGCTTGGAGTGAAAAACAAAAAGGCGGGGGAACGAGGGGGGCGGTTGACTTTAGACGGTATGGTCGTTTGGAATGTGACAGAATGTAGGAAACATGCGAAAACCCTTCATGAGCAAGGCGCTGTTCTGTGTCAACAGAACATCTGTCTCCTTCTCCCCACTTACGTCCATGGGTAGTGGCGTTGTTCGGGAACTCGCTATTTTCGGGAGTGAGCCTTGTGCCCTATTTATGATGACGGGGCCAAAGGTTGTTTTCTGTCTGAAGTGAGCCGAAGAGGGCCAGATGCGAGACAAACGTGCGACCGTGTTGATGGTGGATACCGCAGCTGCAGGTACTGTACAACGCTCGGAGAAAACGCATTTCGTTAGAGAGGAGGACCACCCATGTAGTCTAGACTAGATACGTTACAGTATTTTTTTGTGTTTTTTCATTATTGCCAGTCCATCCAAGGACCACGACCACAGAAACAGAAGAGCGAACAAGTATTGACGCACGTGCAAGTGACTACCAATTACAGCAGCTCTCTGTCAGTCTGTACAGTATTTCCTTTTCTCCACGGCGGGTCCGCGCTTTTTTTTTTTGTCGTGTTCTGGTGCCTGCTGCTGGGAGAAGCAAGTTCGGTTCGGAATCGTACACTCCGAACGAAAAAGACATGCTCATGGCTCGAGCACGACATCAGGAATGTAAGGCTTGGGAGGAAAAACGCAGAGGAGGAGAGAGGGAAGGAGCACCTACAGAATCCACGGTCTTTCCCTCCACCTACAACTGTATCTGTAGTCCAGATGGTATACAGTGGACCCCAGAGTGCATGTAGACCGTCCTCTCATCATCTCCCCCACCCATGACAGCAGCGCGTTTTCCCTGTTTTCATCCGAGAACCTCAAGTACTCACCGACAACGATGGCTCAGGCCGAACGCCCAGACCAAAGGATTCACGTCGAAAGGTGCCGAACGAGATGGTAGGTGATTTTAGATTCTCCCAGAGTGCCGGTGCTGGTGATGACGCCGTTGATGCTGGTGCCGCTGTTGCTGCCGATTGTGCTGACAGTGGGCTTGTCGGACCGCCGCTCGAGGCAGAGCAGCTGAAGTGACGCCGAAGCATGACGGGGGTGAAAACGAGAGGGGTTGGGAGGCCTGGGTCTGGACCAGTATAGAATAGGCCTGCTGAAGAGGCAGACGTGCCGGCATGCCTTCGGTCGGCTGGTTGAGGCGCACTGGAGGAACGCTGCATCATGGTACTCGTACACCTCAGTCCCACCGCAGTAGTAGATGTCGTCTGCGTTGTGGGCAGCCCTTGTGCGGACCTGATAGTCTTGGACACCACCGAGAGAACGGGAGAGACAGGGAAAGCGGCAGGCGCGCGTAGGTTTATGCCACGAGTGGGGTGATCATGTGGTCATGGGCGGGCAGGCTACAACTGCTGCAGATCTTTGATTGGTTTGATAATTGGTACCACGGGAACCGTTCCGCGCGTTCCTCCATTTTCGACAGTCCTGCGGAACGATCCGTGCCCCGGCGCCTCTTCCTGCCGTGACCTCGCCACAGGAGTTCCCACTCACCAAATTCGGATCTTAGAGGTTTCGATTCTCCAGTGCTTTTACCGAAAGGTTGTGAGTCAGCGCACAGTCCGGAGTCATCGCACAGGGGTGCGATGGAAATTTCCGCACAGACAGGTCCGGAGTCACCGCACCGGGGTGCAATGACTCCCAAGCTACTGGTAGGGTAGTTGAGTGCAACCGGTCGGTTCCGGGGCAAATTTCACCCTTGCAACCAGGTCATTGCTGGCATGCTCGATCGTCTTTCTGGGTAGGTTACGGTCGCACAATACATGTGGAGGTATGAAGGAAATGAAGCACATGGGTGTTTCAATTGGATGCATCGGGAAACTTGAACAATAGACCAATGTCAAAAAAACACACGAGAAAGAACAGCAGCCAGCCATAAGTCAAATCAACTGACCCTAAAGAAAAGTACCACGAACTAGCACCACGAAACAGCAGCACGAGTACACACGTTGTTCTACTTTCGCTACCAAACAAACTTCAAACCCTTTCACTTCAAGAAACACCTATCGCAGCGCCAACCTCCTTACTGCTGGGATGCACACACTTCAAAATGTGCAAAAGATTTTTGGAGAACCGCACATTTCTCGAAATCGCTTTAGGTTTATTCCGGACCGCACATAACGGAGTCATCGCACACGGGTGTGTGCTGTTAGACGTACGCACAGCATCGACAGATTCTTGCAAGCAAGAAATTTCCGAGCAGATGGAGCGGGGAGTTTGGGGGCTCAGCAGTTGCTTTGGATTCGATTTGATGGTACCAACTTTGCCGTATATTACAGGATTGAGGGTGGGGGTATGTGTGTGTCTACAGCGGATATGGTGATTGTGCGTTGTGGTTTCTCACTTGTTTTTCGTTTCCTCGTTACTTTTCTCCTTCCTGTGTGCAATCAAGTCCTTTTCCCCCGGCTATCACGCTACCACGGCTATCACGCCACGACTTTCACGCAAATCCTGGCTATCACGCCACCCGGCTATCACGCCTTCCGGACATCCACGTCCTTACTTATACATGTACACCACGACTATCATGTCACCAGGCTTCCACGCCACATCCAGAGATACCATACCCGAGCTGTCACGCTCCATCCCAAAGTAGAAGGCTGTCACGCCCATCATAGTTCCTACACTGTGCCGTTGGCGGCTACCGCGCCGCTGGCTCTTTTATTTCCCAACCAAGGGACCCCGCGCGCCAAGGCACCGACGCACAAAGCTACTCAACACGCTAGCGTAACGATCAAGAGAGTGCCCGCCGTGTCAAAGCGCGCAACATGCCGGACGGAGACGGACGACAACCTCCGGGGGGATCAGGTGAGGCTGTCCCTCCCCCCGGGGAAGGCGTCGCGGACGGAGGAGGGAGCGATTCTTTCTTCGTTAACGATGCACGAGACCGAGGGGGTGCGCGAGCGGCAGGAGGGGAACATCAGCGCGACACGATGCGTGAGCTGGTTGACCTCTTCAAGCAGGCCTTCGCGACATCAACTCATGACCAGGGGCACCTTGCCCACTCAGGCACGTCTAGAAACCAGATCTTAGAACTGGCGCAGAGAGAAAAGATAGATGTACCGGTATGGAGTGATGACTATCTGAAGAACAGATCGATCGAAGTTGCATTGCGAGTGTTCACGAGTGCTTTTGAAGCGTGGCTGGAGAGTGAGAGACTTGCTGGTGTGATGAGGAGTTCAGAGGTCCCTGGTGGTGCAGCTGGTGTGGATTTGAATTGGTTGAGCAGCACGTTCGGAGAGGAGAGAGTGAAGCAATCCAGGAAGATTTGGACGTTTATGCTAGCTAAGATCACAGCACAACCCGTACAAGCCCAAATCTTGGCATCAGAATCACCTCAAGCAGGGTACCGCGTGTTTCTCGAACAATAC